CAGACAGGCGTACGAGTGGTTTCAGCCGGCCCATCTTCCTCTCAGCAGGCGAGATCGAAGAGCCTGTTTCCAAAATATTAACATAAGACGGCTACACAGCGACAGACGATTGATTCATCTCCAATCCTTCCTCGTTCTTACGCTCCCCTCCTTTCCTAATTCTGTCCTCGTTCCCTTCCTCCCCGTGACCTCATTCGCTGCTCTGTCCCCTCTGATTCTCCTCACACGGCGGTGGCCGTGGCCCAGAGATCAGCGGCCCTGGCAGCGGCAGACGTGCATCGGGGGTGGTGGTGACGCAGGGGGTGGGGGGGGTAGAGGGAGGGAGAGGGGCTGAGTGGCTTTAGCAGATTTCCTGCAGCACACTATCGCGCCCTTCAAGCTCGTGAGTGCACCGACACCCGTTGATCAATGGCCGGGGCCTCAGAGGCCATTTAATGGACGGAGCCTCCGACTGACAGAGGTGCACAAGCCTCCCGGAACACAAAATACACTGTTATGCTAATCACCTGCCCCTGCAACACTCAGGCTTTTACGATGACAGTGCTGGAAGGGAAAAAAAAAAAAGGGAAAAAACATTATTTACCATCGCAGAGGAGTCTGAGTGTGTGCGAGAGTGCTCCTGTGTTGTTGTGGTTCTTTTAATTAAGTATGAAGAAATTAGTGAGGGGGCAAAAATCGCCGGCTTTTTTTCTTCTTCTTCTTCTTCTTTTTTTTTTTTAGCTTCCCATTTATATTTTTCATTAGACGCGAAGCTGCAGCGGAGATTACAGTCGCACAGTGCCAGCTGCTTCACAAAAATGTTCCGACATAATACTTGAAGACCAGGGTGAGGAAGAGATGGATTATCATTAACAGGATTACAATAATCTGGTTACAAGAAATGCTCAATGTAATCCATTAATTTAGATTAAAAGAAGAAGAATTTCATATAACCTTAGAGCTATACACTGGATGTCAGATTTAAATGTAATATTGCGGCCATACTCAAAATTAACATTTACTCAAGACTGGATGGTAGTGATTTATTTCTGTAAATAAGGACAATTCAATTATGCATCCTTATATGGTTAGCTAGCCTCAGCAATATTTGACACGGCTTCGTATTAACAATGATTTGGGTATGGATTATTTAGCTTGTCTATGCACTTCATAGATGACAGCAAAACTTTTAAACTGTGAGGTTATGTTTTCAAGCGCAGATGAAACAATACTAAAATTGAAAAGGAAATCAGAAGACTACCAGTTTTACTACCTGTTTTTGGCTTGGACTTCTTCGTTTTGTAAAGAAACAACTTTAGATGACGTCTTGGCATTTTGTTGCTTGCAACCTGTTGCAAAGACAAACAATATCCTCCAATTTTTTATAAATCTCAAACATAACTTGCTGAAATTATCATTTTCCCACCAACAAAGTGATTCCTAAATAACTACCTGCTGAAAATGTATCAAAGAAAGCTGTGCAGTGTAATCTTAAAAATGGTGGAAAAATACCAAAGATGGCCATAAAACTATCAGCAGACGAGCAGAAAATGATGAAGATGAGTAAGAGTAAATAATCCATCAAAGAACTGACGCAGGACCTGTAAGATCTGTCTTGACCTTTATTGGGTCAATCTTATTTGTCCCATGCCAAATCAGTGAGGTCCACAGGGAGAAAAAGATTAGCTCTGATAGGTGGATAAATCCTCTCTAGATAGCTATTTCAAAAGACTAAAATCTTGCCTAAGAGGATTCAAGCAGTGTTTGAGGGTAAAGGTGTTCCAACCAAATATTGACCTTCAAAGTTATGGAAATTGGAAGAAAAAAAACTCTTGGTTGTATTGCCACTCATCTGTGCACATTTCAGTGAATCACCGTTTTTCTCTTTGTCTGGAAATGCTAAAAGAAAAGAGGCGTGGCGCAAGACTTTTTCACTGTACTGGAGCTTTTGGACTTTCTTTTTCTTTCCCCCCCCCCCTTCTTTTTCTGAGATCTGACACAGTGTCAGAAGTGAGAATTTGCATTCTGTTTGCCGTGGAACATCTGAAGCGTTTTCGGCGGCTCACCAGAGACGGCGTGCGCAGCCCCTCCATCTCAGCAGGGCTTTGTGCAGACTATTTTTCATCTTGACGATGATACAAAATGGCAGCAAACCAAAAGGAAAATATCTCATGATTGTATTACGGACCATTAGTGATGAGAAATCAACTGCGACACGTTCTCACTGAGGTTTTAATGAGCGTGCTCGGCAGAGGGAAAACTGGGGGGGAAGTGGCGGCAGCATGAAAGACAGTTTTTATTTCATGGCTGCTGGCTGCTCATCTTTGACTGGACAGTCTGTGGTGCGGCATCAAATCCCGACATCGCCACGGCGATCCCGCCGATTACTTTGAGATTAACAGCAGGACCGGCCTGTTAAATACTGGAAGAACACAGCCGCGCACACACACCAGCCAATGAGATGTCAAAAAGTTTTTTTTTTTTTTTTTTTTTGTCAAATGCAAAAAGAAATACTCATGCACATTCACATGCATGACTACCCCCCCACCCTCCATTCACACACAAATCTGTTGGATTGGCAGCGATCTGTCAGATTTAGCTGCATCTACTGATGCACCCTCTTTGAATGCACCCTTCAGTTCTCTTCCAAGCTCAAAGCGCTCATTTGCCATCCTGTCCAAAGCAAGTTTAATGCCTCCAATTACAGGGGGGTCTGCAAGCAGGCAGATTTGGAACGAGGAGGCTTGGCAGGAGAGTTTGCCACGCATCGGGGCCTTTTAACAGAGTAGTGATTTGCTGCTGCTGCTGCTGGTGCTGAAGCTGCCTGTGCCGGCTCATCAATGGAAAACTACCCTCTTTATGGTGAAGGCAGGCAGCACTAAGCCTAAACTGTGAGGAGGAAACAGAAAAGTCTCAGGCTTTTTAACGAGTTGTTGCTGGCTCTCATTACGCTCCGCGAGGAGGAATTTCTGCATCTCTGCACTGCAAGCACAAATGGAAATCAAAGTCTTTTCAGCCATCACTTTTTATGTGAAACAGGGTTCTGTTTTTAATTGAATATTCTGAGACATACTGTACAGAAGAGAGTGAAGTCAAGGACGTCGAGGAAGCAAACGGAGAAATAAAAAAAATGCGCGCAAGACAGCTGCAATCGTACCAAACGTAGCACGTACATTGATTATACACCACAGTCGAGGAAAAAAAAAAATCTCCTCTAAACCTCTCACTTCTCGTCTTTGATTTGAGTTTGATAGCCTTTTGAATGTATTATCAGAAGCTCAACTGCTTTGCTGAGCGACGCTCGTGGGCCAACTTTTCGTTCATCCGTTTATCTTTAAAAACTCATTTATCCCAGATCAGTGTTGTGGGGAGCCAACCCGGAGCCAACATGCAAGCTGCCATCGGCCGAGAGAAAGGGGGACACCCGGGGCACACCACATGTCCACCTTTGACAATCTGGACTAACTACTGCGCGCTCTGGCACTCTCTCCTAAGGTCAGTGTAGAATCACTGACCGCTTTGGATGCTGGGTGGAACATACGACCTCCACACAAGAAAGGCCCCGAGCCAGAATTTGAAGTGGTAACTGCGACAGTTCAATGCCTCCTTAAGTGAGATATGCGGAAAACAATCCATTAAAACAGGGACATGCCAATGGATAAATGGCATATAGGGCTGAAACTGAATTTGTACATTATAACAAGCTTTGTCATGATTTGAGAATGGCTTCGTCACAGCTAACCTTTTGAGGACACCATCTCTGATGGGTCAACTTAAGGTCCTGATCTCTCTGGTTCTTTGTCAATGGATTTTCAGGATTGTTCCTTATTTATTTTTTTGAGGTTATCACTTTAAGATACTGTTCACCTGCTTTAAAAAGCTTTATTTTTATTCCACTTATTTATTTTTCTTGATACAAAAAACAGAAGTCTCTTTATATCAAATTGTACCATATTTTTGTTCCCCCTCCCAATCTTGCTAAAGAAATGGGAACAAATGGAATCTTTGTGACAGGCTTTGATCAACCAAGTGGTCAGATATATGTGGGACCCAACACCATTTCATTTCTTGAGCTAAGTCTCTACTTACTTGGTTCTTTATGTACTTTGTACAATGGTGTATCATATATGATTCCTAAGTCAGTGTTATGTGGTTTATCTAACAAGACCCAGCTAGAACTGACCATGAGTGAAAAGCAGCCACAGACTTTCAGAAAATCTGTCGAATATAACTTAAAAAGATAAGAAAATCCAACTGCTTAGAAGCAAAATCTGAAGAAATTAGGCATGACTGAAGGACAAACATGCAACACAGCAGATTTTGACCGCTTTTAACTGTTTTGTCGCTCCTCTGGAAGCTTGCTGGCTCTTGGAAGCTGGCCGTTTTCTCACACAGACGGAGCAGCTGCACCATCACAAAGCATTTATCCGCTTTTTTTTTTTTACCTGCGGCGTGCTTTGACACACGCGATAAATGCCACGGGGGCGAGCGTTGACCCCGGTTGGCGCGCGTCCTGTGAGAGCGGCGAGGATGATTACAGAACATGAACATGACACCAGTCTTCCCCCCCTTTGGCGGGTCAACGTACATCTGCCGTGTGAGCGGAGCGTCAGAGATGGTTAAGTATGATTCCTGCCGAGGCCCCTCAACGGACGGCCTCCCTCCCGGTCAATAAAAACAGAGGGCGACAGCTTCACTCATCTGCACCGCTGTGGAGGGACTCGCTCGGCGCCCTGGCTGACAGATTTAAAGCCAAACAACACTGACATTTGGTGAAAAGCCAGATTAACTTTGCCTCCTTGAAGCCTCTCCAGCAGCAACAGAGACCGAAATCCCCTGAACAGTCCTGTGGTCTTGCTAATTGGCGAGCAGCATGGACCAGGCTTTGATTAATCTTAAATCTTAATGAGTTCACCCCAAGCTGCTGTGATATTTCGGCAGAGGAGGTAAAACACGCTCGCCTCCACCCACCCCCCCCCCCCCCCTTCCCTTTTCATCCGGCAGCTGCATCAGAAGAGACCTGAAACTTCGGCCTACTGAACCCGCCGAGAAATCAAAGAGAATGCCAGAGATCTGTTTAATAATTTATTTGCATATGATTATCGTAAAAATACTGAAAGAGAAATGCTTATTTTTGTTCTAGTTTTCTCACATGTTTTTTTATAATCTAATACACCTTTAATTGTACAGGAAAGTCTGCCCTAACAGACACGTTTTCTTCTTTCACTGTGACATACTGTATAGTTTCAGATATGCAATGACTGTTTAAACTGTAATTTCCCCATATGTTTGCTCCCCGACAATAAAGAAACAGGCATATAAACGAGGGGTCATAGAGAGGCCAAAGTCAGGTCAGAGAGCTGAAAATGCTTATTGGATCTGTCTAATACAAATACAGTGTTATATACAGGCAGCTGTTTTAAATAGGAACTGCTCTGACGGTTGGAGCTCTAAAGAAACACCGATGAGGAGAAACAAAGCAGCGAGCGATTTGTTCTACATCGCTCTTCTGCAAAGTTAATTCGAAGTTCACCAAGAACAACATCCGGCCACCATTTCAAATTTCCGCTGGCCTTCGAAACACGTCCAAAGTAAAATATACAACGCAGCCCAGCTCTAGGCCTTTTTAATCTGTGAAAAGACTAGAGAGAAAAAAAAACAAAAAAACAGGCTCGACGGTGATCTCAACTCGGTGTGTTCGGTGTCTTAAAGGTAATTTGTCGGCACGAGCCAAACAGCTCCTGAATACAATTGTTTTGATCGCTTTTTGTGTGGTTTCTTAATGTGTAGGAAGTAAAAAAAAAAAAGAGAGAAAGAACAGAAAAAACAAAAAACGAACCAACGAGCAATCAGAATAAAAAAGTTGTGGTAAAAAAAAGGGAAGAAGATCAAAAGAAAAGGAAACACATTTTTGCATTGAACAGATTATAAATTAGCATTCTAAACGATGCGTGTATGAAACAGTTAAGGTTAAGAAAACATGGACTTTAAAGCCCACACAGCAAAAATGCCACCAAAGCAACAGCTATCACGAAACTCGTCGGTACTTTTTCTCATGAACGAGTTTCCACTTTGGCATGCACATGGCGTGTCCCGCACAGTGTGAGCTGCAACCTCCCCTCCGACAGAGAGAGACAGCGTGAAGACTCGGATGCTTTGTACACATTTGTAACACGTAATTCTCCCAGTCCACGTGGAAGACGGTATATAAGAGGAAGCGGATGAAAAGTTGTCTTTTTTTCTTTTTTTTTTAATGTTCTTGTCTCCAAAAGAAAAAGCGAAAAAGAACGTTATTTGGTTGGGTTTAAAAAAGAAAAAAGTTTTTGAAAAAAAAAGAAAAAGAAAAAAAAAGATTGACTGGATTGAAGGTATACACAGGTGAAGCTGTCTTGGGAGTCGGCTTTGAGCAAATGTTTGCATCATCTTGGCACCGTTTGCGTCATCTCAACATTCGCATCATCTCCGCGAGCTCGCCTTCCTCGATTGTGGAGGTGGAGAGAAGAAAAGACATGATTCCCAACCAGCAGAAAACACATGCAGGCATGCAAACACAACCTGAGAGGGAGCGACAAGAAGTTTGGCTTTATGTCAACAGTCACGAATCCACAAGTGTCAAGTAATGAACACACACATTGCAATGGCAAGTTCTCTTTATACAGACATTAAGTCTCCAGTGGGAAAGGAATCTCCAAAGTGGCCTTCTTTTGCTGCGCAGCTTCCATCTTTTACTTTCCTCTTTTTTTTTTCAAATTTACATCAGCCTCTCTGCATCAAGAGTTCCTAGGCAGTTTTTTTTTCTCTCTTCTTCTTCTTTTCAATCATTCGGTATGCTTCGCTGTGCGGCAGGTCACACCCTGATGGGGAGAGTTTGGCTCATCTGTTGTCGAATGATTTCCTGACTGTTGTCTGGGCTCTTCCTGTTGTGTCCCGGCAGCGTTCCTCCCAGCCGGAGCAGGTCCCTGCGAAGGCAACACCACATGGGTCAGCCGCCAGTTCAAACCCCCCTACAGGCAAAACCTGCCTCCCGCCTTATCCGCATCCCGCTTTAGATCTCACAGGCGGAAAACCCCACGTAAAATAAAACAAAAACATGTTATACAGAATAAAATAAATGCAAATAGAGATCGTATAGTAATTCCTGTTATTTTTGCTTGTTACAATTATTAATTTATGCATTTCAGGCCTTCCAGGCAGTTTGTAAGAATCTAATCAAATTGTAGCCTCACTCTGACCCAAGATACCAAACAAAAAGCATTTGGGCTTTTTGTTGTACGTCTTTTAGCCCATCCTTCCTGCCACCACATCTTAAGGCATCCAACAGCTCTTGACAAGTTTCACATCTTTGTTTCCATCAGGGACAGGCTAGTTTTTTTTAAATCTTTTGAAAACTGGATAGTTTTTCATGGCTAACCGTGTGAATTGGCTAAAAATAAAAAATAAACTCCACAAATCTGTCGTTCCTCTTTGTTCATTTTGGGCCATACTCGAGAGCTCTTGTGTGTGCACGCAGGACAATGCGGCACGCCTTTGGAAAGCTTGCATTCTTGTAAATCGGTGGATTCCTGTTGCATCACCTTGCAGCCAACGGCTGTGTCTAATCTCTCACAGACTTTTCATTATGGCCGCCTCTTGAAAGAGACCAAAATCGAGCCTTCGCTCGGTTCGCTTCTTGGCTTCATTTGGTTGTGTCGTGGGTTTTAGGCAAATCATCCTGGAAAGGGGAGCAGTTGCCGTTATACATGTGTAAATGAGCTCTGCGGAGAGCACTGAGACAGTCCCACGCTGTCGCAGAGCCTGGCTTCTGGACTTGTATTCTTCGACTTTATTGTTATTGGCCTGGAGACCCACGCCCTCCCCGGAAAAAAACAAAAAAATTGGTCTATCCCCAATACCCATTTCCTATGCTCAGAGGTTCATCCCAGGCCAAACAAGTTGACACCACCTCTGGACAAGGTTAGCATAAGGTCCTTTCATCGCGCTGTTAGGCATGCTGCAAATGTAACTCTGCGTTTGGGTGCTTGACAAAGATTTCCCGCAGTAATCCGTTTATAAAATTGCTGAATCCCTTCAGCAATTTCTACAGGGACCGCATATCCACTTTAGGCTGCCATTTCAAACAGCAAATATGCCGTTTTCCTTATACATGGCGACATAATGCTGCATCGTGGGAGAAGAACGCAAACAATTGTCTTTCTTGACAAACGCTGTTTATTAAAGCCAGTGATCATGTCCTCATATTAGCTGTCAAACTGGAGATCACATATTTTGCTTCTCGGTGACTCAGCCTTCCATAGAACATCTTTCGTTTGTACCTCATTACCAGCCACAAAAGTGTGCTGCAGGCCTGAAGTGCCAGAATAAATGGACGTTAACTGATTTAATCAAATAAGGCAGACAAAAGACACGCAGGGATCTTTATGCCTGCAATGGAATAAAAAGTTTAGGTAAATGTAAAAGGGAAAAAATTGCATGAGAAATGCAATAGCGTGAAGTTAAACTTAAAACTGCTGATCTACTATTTAATCTGCTACAAAAAAACAAACAAAAAACCCTCGAAATGCCAAGACGAATCTATTCATCACATTTCCAGTTTTAATAAAGGTTGATCGTGTTTCTCGGTTATCTTGAGGGGGTGGGAAAGGCGTCGCAGCCTCTGAGTGTCCTTTGTTCCTCGGCCAGTGTCCTTGTTTTTTAAGGCTGTAGTGGTTGCAGATAGGCCGCCGATAGCGCTGCATCTCATATCCTCTCTCTCCATCCCATATCTGCCCCGGCATCAGCACGCAGCCAATGGGAGAGCAGCGGCAGCCGGCGTTCCGCGGCCTCGGACGCGCACACAAACTCGGGAGACCCTCGCTAAATCGTGCTCTGACAGCGTGATCCTCTCTCCCTCTCTCTCTCTTTCTTTCTCTCTTCCCTCCGTGCCTTCACCATCTATCACTTGCTGCTCCTGCATACGGATGAGGCCATAAATTAATCATTGGCATGTCATCAGCTCACAATAACACCATAACATGCATACACACACGCACACACAAGCAAGCATAACACTCCCACACACACACACACACACCCACACACACACATACGCGTATCCCTTTCCGATTCGCTCATCGCAGCACTGGGTGTGCCCTCCCCTGATGCATTAAAAAGCTCATTAGCAACCTAATTAAACACATTCCTCTCTTTTAGCTTCTCCTCAATCTCCCTTATTACTCGCACTTCATCACCTCCTGCTTTTCCACATCAGCAGCTCTGGCTGCTTGTCTGTCCTATCACCTACATTCCAGCATCCAGCCAAGTACACTGGGAATTAAAGCGAGGTCAGCCATTACATTTCCACCCACAATTAGCTTCGCCGAGACCAAACTCTGGCATCAGAATCGCCCTTGGGGCTCCGTGTTCGAGCGGAGCCGTGAGCCGAGGAGATGGCGGCCCCACCTGGATGAGACGAGCCCCGTCAAAAAAAACAGGATTCTGCCGCCAGCGTCGGTGGATGGGCGCTTGATTCATTATACATCACTGAGGGGCACCGGGACCCAGCATCTAAAGCAGCGCCTATCACGCCGCTGACTGGATGCCAGGCTGACAAAACTCAGAACAGACAAATCGGCGAGCTCGAGCATTTAAAAGGCAAGCACGCGCCACGGCAAAGCTGAAAAACAGCCCCCTTTGAGCGAGGACAGCTATCCCAGAATAAGCTGACTGCTCCCCTTTCCACGAGGAAGTGCCAAAAGACGCTGAGGCAGACACCTCTCTGGCAGCAAAAGCCGCTCACACAAAAAAAAACGGCGTCCTCCATAAAACAAACCCAACACAACAGGCATGCCACGCTTCTCTTCAGGCCAGCCACACACACACACACATATATATATTCTTTTTCTTTTTTTTACTGTGACATCTTATTCCAACAGCCCTGAAGCACAGTGCTGCCTGCCTGCACTGGTCATAATATACAACCACTAGGGATCATTTCTCACAAGGTGAAAAAGAAGAAGAAGAAGAAAAGTGCATGGTCATATTTTTCCTGGTAGAACTTTGCTCCTATTGCCAGAAAAGCCGGAAAGCCAACAACAACATGGATGCTACTCAGATGCCGTCTATTGGGCCCGACTTCGTGAACGTTTTTTATTCTTTTAAAGCGCCAGCCCTAACCCTAACCCTTATCAAGAAAGCCGATTCTGTAACGCTCGCTTAATGGATGCTGAGTGTGGCCGCAAATCTGCCCAGATGGCCAAAGTGAACCTCTTTTCTTTCAATAAAATGTAAAATACCTGGGACACAACACCCAGAAAGCAAACATTTTCTATCTAGTGAGCAATTTCTCCTCATTCGCTTTGACAACAACAAAAAAGGCAATTTTAGGAAAACACTGAAGAGAAATACACAATCTGGCTTTATTTTTCAGAGAGTGGCGAGGGCCTAAAAAAGCAATGTTGGAAATGCTCTTTGGATGATCAAAGACTATGAAAGGCTCTCCGCCCACACCTTTCAACCAACGCATCCCAAATTTCACTAACTGAACGTGTCCTGGTGTTATTGGTGAAGGAGCACCAGGGTGCAGCTTTTCATTTTCAGAACCTAGAGCAATGTTTAAAACATGCCCTTTGCACTGGTCCGGGTTATTGGACAGCAGTGGTTGATCGAAACGGTTCTTATCTGGGTCTCGTTGGTGGTCATACGAGCGTTTGTTCCGATCGAGCCGGCGCGTTTAAGCTCACCCTGAGTAGGTGCTGGTCACCACCTTGAGGCTGGCGGCGTTGCGGAGCAGCTTGTCCAAGGTGCTGACGATGCGGGAGAACTTGGGCCTCAGGTTTCTCTCCTTCATCCAGCACTCCAACATCAGCTGGTGCAGCACCATGGGGCAGTCCATGGGTGGAGGCAGCCGGTAGTCCTGCTCCACGGCCGTCATCACCTGCGGGAACAGGTTTGTCCGTCAATGGCCCCATTCGCAGCTCGTGGTGGAACATGTGTGGTCAGATGAAGGCAAAACGCATTGTAGCGAACCAAGCCAACCCCAGACATTTCTACTCCATTGACATACCGCATCTGGTCTCTAAAATAGGCTGTAATTCAGTTACATTCAGTTATTTTCAGTGGATTTAATATATTTATTCAATGGCTATGTGGTTCATGTGGGCTTGGCTACTTTAACAGCATTTTTATTTGTATTTCCACATCTTTTATCTATGATGCCTTACCAGCTTGTTTGAAAGTAGGTGAATAAACTTAATAAACTACATTTGAGAGAATAACTCCCAGGAACTAAATCTGAAGACCCAAAGACACATGAGAAGCCCACATCTGCAGGCTAGACAATGTCATTCTCAAATACAGTTGTTCATGAGACCATTTTTTCTTTGACTAATGCCATTAGTTGCCAAATTCAATAAAAATCACACAAAGGCATGCGCACATCATGTGGAACAGTGATCCTCAACGGCTGTTATGAGGGTGAAACACCATCAAATCATGTAATTTCCAAAGAATGCTTTGAAATAATTGGCTCTATTTTGGATTTAATATTCAATAATGCCTCTGTGTATCCTCAATGTTCTTTAAAAAGTAAATAAATAAATAAAGCAGCGCAGGCAGAAGATGTAAGACAGTATTGATTTTTTTCTTATTTTTATTCAGCACTGGAAAGTGTTCAATCTAAGGGCAAAATGTCTAGCTGAAAAGGTGGTTGGTATGTAGCTACCAAAACAGTTCGCAGGTACTCAACAACTCCTTATATGTCCTTTCCCCACAGTTTTATTCTGTCTTCCGTCAAACGCAATAGGGACTTATTTTCCTAGGAAATCTGTGACTTTCCTTTCCCCCAAAACAAGTACCATTAGCATGGCGTATGATCGTGCGCTGCTAACTCCATCATGCTAACATGCTCCAATGACCAAATATTGTGTTATCTTTAACCACGTTAGGGTAGGTGTGTCCCTTATACCAACAAAAATAGTAAATTAATATCATAATATAGTTCATATAATAACCCCAGTTACCTCTTTTTTACAAGAACTCTTTCATTTTGAATCCTAATGTCGAGTTTAGCATTCTGACACTGTAGGCACACAGGGCTAATTTATCGTGAAACCAAGTAAGCTTGGCAAGTGTAAAGCTCACAAAAATGCAAACTGGTGGAAAAGTTAGAGGATTGCTAAAAGTCATCAATGAAGTCATCCTTGGGAGAAAGACTATATTTATAAACTATGCTGCCAAGGTTTGAAAATGCAAACTCAAGCAAGCAGGGGATGGAAACGTCTCACAGTTTATCTATAAAACAATGAGGAAAATGTATCTATTTGGCACCATTTCGCTCTATCTGATTCATAGCAAGATCATCCTGTTTGCGGATTGAGGGAGAATAATCACTTGTGGCTGTATTATGTGCTGCATTTGACAGCTGCTGGGCTCATGCCGTCAAATATTCCAAACTTCCTTTATGTGTCTTAAATTTGTCACTTCAAAACTGGCGTGAGTGACAGGAAAGACAATGAGGGAGCGAGTACGTCGGCTCGCCTGATTTGATTTTGCCTAGCAACTGCATTGTGCCTCCATAAGCTCTGTACGGGTTTTAACTCCACAAAAATAAAAAATAAAAACTGCCATTTGGGAACAATAAAGCATTTCTGCTGCACTCCCCTTCTCCTGCTGCTTGTCCTTTGATTTTGTATCGTGCCTCTAGCCTGTGACTGCCTCTGTTTATATCTGGTATTTGTTGACTGTGTTACTTATTGAGCGACGACTGTGGCACAAAGGCTACGGGGAACAATAGAGGGCCTCTACTTTGATGCTTTCATTACTGCGTGTGGATTTTGTCGTGAAAGTTATACATACATTACTGCCATTTTTCATTTTGGCTCCTCTTTGGCTTTATTGCTATCATAGTTACAAGTCTCCTTTTGAAGCGCAATACAGAGCAGATATTCCTCTGAGAATTAAGTGGAGGTGTACACTACCACACCGCTTCAGTACTTTGTTCAGTGAGGAGGAACCCAGAGATTTCTGTTTTCTTTCCTACAAGCTCGCTGCTGTAGTAACAATGTCTGTGCGCTGCAGATAGCCTACAGGTAACAAGGCCCATAAAAAGCTTTTCCCTGAGAACGCCTTTGTGAGCGCAAGGAGGGAGGCTTTGCGGTATGGATTTGTTGGGGGTGGGCGGGCTGGGGCTGTAAATAAGGCGGTAGAAAAAGTAGAACACAGGCACACAACTGCACTGGCATCTGCAGTAGCGAGATAAAGGCAGCGGAACAGACCCAGGGTCTAGGATGTCATGCTGGAAATGAAGGCCCCAGCAGCAGCTTCAGGGAAGTTTCAACCATCCCCCCCCCTAAACTTAGGCACGAAACCCCCTTTCATATGGATTCGCTCGACAGGTCTGAGTGCGCTCGGGAGACCCGCCGACAAACTCACATCCTGGTTGCTCATGTCCCAGTAAGGCCTCTCTCCGTAGGACACCACCTCCCACATAACGATGCCATAACTCCACACGTCGCTTGCAGAGGTGAACTTCCTGAAGGCGATGGCCTCTGGCGCAGTCCACCGAATGGGGATCTTCCCTCCCTGCTCACAGAGAGACACAAACAGAGGGGGGGATGGGATAGCCGCTAATCCCCAAACGGCTCTCACAAACTGCGTCCACGTGTAGGTTCACAGAGCCCTGTGAATCAACTCGGACTCTTAGAAGCTCAGGTAGAGGTCTCCTGCTGGGGCCCAGAGTCAGAACCAAACAAGAGGAGGCTTCTTTTCAGTTTTAATGCTCCTAAAATCTGTAACAGCCTTCCTGAAGAAGCTAAATCCAGGCTGAAAAAGGTTATATTTAACTGCGCTTATGGAAACTGAAGGTATTTTGTCAGCATCCTTCACTTTCAATCTATTTAATTCATATCGTTGATTCATTTCTTTCTTTGTTTTCTGCTTTTAAACTCTTTGTAAAGCACGAAATGTGCCATGCAAATGAACTCGCCTTGCCTAAAATACGCAACAGGGTCGAATAAACGCACGCTCCACTGACCAGGGAACTTGTGTAGGTGGGGTCGGCGGAGGTATCGTCCAGGAAGCGCGACAGGCCAAAGTCGGAGACCTTGCAGACCAGGTTGCTGTTGACCAGGATGTTTCGGGCGGCGAGGTCTCTGTGGACGTAGTTCATGTCCGACAGGTACTTCATCCCCGCCGCAATGCCACGCAGCATCCCGACCAGCTGCGTCATGGTGAAGCGCCCGTCGTTCAGCTAGGGGAGCAGCAAAGGGGAAAGAAAAGAGGGTGAGGATTTAAGGGCACCAGCAGGAGTAGTTTCAACCTCCCGACACCCTGCGTCTTCACATGAGGACATGGCATTTCGGCCTCTCTGTACCATGATGCTTCTTTTTTCTTTTAACTTTGACCTCTTGGCGTCATAGCAGACACTACTAAAGTAAAATGGTTTTATACATTTTCAACCATTCATGTTATAATTGTGTAATTACAATGTTGTAAGCAAGTCATATGGACTGTCAGAACCAAATTGCAAGAACATTTAATTACAGTAAATATATTTAAAAAAAACATAAACCCACTGAGCTTATACGAAGAAAAACTACCTCTTCTTAAGCCTTCTCAGTAAACGTCCTACTAATCCCACATATCTTGAAAAATGCACGCCAAATAAAAAATCTGGTCCAAGGAACTTAAAGCAATGGGAGTGAAAACAAGAGGGAGAAAAGACGTGTTCGCTGTAGAGAAGCGGATTAGAGGGGAGAGCGCAGAAGGTAAGGAGAGCGCCAGCAGGGGAGGGTGGGGGGGGCTTCATCAGTCACTGAGGCCACATAAACATGACACGTGTCATAATGCTTCCCAGCTGCTGCTGACACTCAAAGACAGCTGACCTTTTCGCACATGCAGTCAGATTAGCCAATTAATTAAAATATTTACTGTCACACTAAAGCAACAAAGGAAACGTGAGATCGGGGGGGGGGGGGGGCGGAGGCTTTAAAACCTAAAACGAGAGCTTTTCCCCCTCCGTCTCCGAACGCCAAACGGGCCCCGCTAGGCTGTTAGCACAAACTCTGCCGGGGCCAAAAGGCTCGAGTTGAATCTTTTCTGCTCATGAACCTGAAAGCTGAATTTGCTTGTCGGATAAATTGCTGTGGCATGTTGCTGGAAGGTAATTGTCTCCCCCATGTGAGAGTCCTCCATTTGCAGAATCTGGCCCTTTTTTTTTTTTTTTTTGAAAGGCATGAAACAAAATCTTAGATTAGGGCTTTCAGGGTTCATTTGACAATTCTCCACATTAGTACACGTGTGCCACAAAGTCGAGATTATATTAAATCAGCGCGCTGACCTGCCGGGACTCCCGAACCCCGATGTGTGCGTGGGGGCTGGAACGAATCAATGGAACATCAATATACAATTAAAAAAAATGAGTAGAACTTTCTGCAGAACTGCGTGAAGCTACTCTTCAAGGTTCCCTCTCGTGACCTGAATATCTAATACAAGGAGGAGCTGGAGAAGAAGAAGAAGAAGAAATAAGAAAAGGGACCCTATTTTTGAGATAATCAGTGCCTTCTTTGACTCCGCTGTGGGAAAGCAAAGAACACAAGACGTGACATGACAAAGCCATAAACATTCTGCTTTGTAGTCTGCACACTCCAGTGGAGTCTGACAGCCAAACAAGCCGGGATGGATGGATGGATAAACAGCCATGATTCATAACAGACCTTCAAAGCCACACTGGCGTGAGTGAGTGTGTGTTATTTCTGTGGATCTGCTTCTGCGTGTAAATGTCCTCTGTGTGTGTGTGTGTGGAGTATGTGTCCATGTCTCGGGGGATCTGAAGCGCACATTCTCGTGTGTGTGACCCACTGCGGCGGCATTTGGATGTGAGCTAACTCCATAGTTTCCTCATTAGCGCAGAACTCTTGAGTTGCTTTGAGTCACATTCGGCGCGGTGACACTAGCGGTAGAGCACAGACCAAGCAGTTTTCCTTTTCTCTTTTTCCCTTATTTGTGGGACAGCTGGCTGAGAGGAGTGTGTGAGAAGGAGGGAGGGAAAAAAAAGAAAAGAAAGAGCTCCGGCTGGGCTGTGGGGCTACAGCTAATGATTGTTTTCACTCCCAAATAATGTTTTTTTTCTCGAAAGAAAGACAAAAAAAAGAAAGTAGAAAAAGAGATAAGAGATGTTATTCCATCTCTGAATTGGTTATCTAATTGTGAGATTTTAGCAGATAATTGATCAACCGTTGAAGTCTCTTTCCAAGAAAGAAATCCTCCAAATATTTGCTTCCACCTCAACTTGTCTCTGTTAAAAACTGAATAATTAACGCATGGAAGCTAGATAGAACCACAAATCTGTAATGTTTTGTTTGAGACCTTTTGCATTATTCAATGGTAAAAACTCTGTTGTACACAATCAGATGTACCAGATAAAAGCGAGCAGAAGACTTAACGACAATACTTTTGACTTATCACATGGTAATAAACGATGAATATTAAAAGATTATTCCTTTTTTTTTCTATATTTCATTAACTGTCCAAATAGAGACTTCAAACAAAATAAAAATAAAAAAAATCCCTTCATTTTCATATCACGTTTTGAAGGGTTAATCTTTTTGCTGTGAATAAATGTAATTATTCCATCAAAGAATTGGCAGATAATGTAAAAATAATAACCGCAGCCCCATTCATTTTGCCCAGGCAGCAAAACAACAGGAAAAAAATGTGTTATTTGGATGGAGGCGGTATGTAACACAGCTTTGCTTCATGGACTTAAAAAAAAAAATCATAAATTGATTAAATTACTATTGAAAAAAACGATGCTGCATTGAATGTCTGAATAATCTCATTAACTCAGTCTTTAATCATACAATAACTAACTTGACAGTCGTTCTACACGGCGTTTCATTCTGGCTTGTAAATGCTTGAGTGAAACAAGTCATTATTTCCAATGACACAAAACCAAAACAAAAAAAAAAGCAGGAAAATTATTTCAAGGATAACTGTCATGAAAAAATAGACCGTTTACCGTCTAAAAGGCGCTTCTTATTCAAAGCAACTTACAAGGAGGGTTTAAACCAACAATCCCACAATAGCTGAGGACTCTGGTGCCTTATTGAATAGGCCTCAAATGTTTAATTTAAGGGTTTAGGCATCAGAACATAACGATACATAATCTTTTCCTTACTTGATCTGAAAATTAGGTAGATATATCACATGAAGAATACAAGATGTATAGTATTTTCTGATTCTGAAAAACCAAGTACACCTCACCTATTATCTTTATCTTTAACTTGAAGTTTTCGATGCTATGAAGGAATTTCAGAACACTCTTCTTTACAATATTGATTCAGTTTGTTAAGTTTTGAACTATCAACACCTTTTTTTGTTTCAGACATTCTGTTTTAGGTTTGCTGCTGAGTTTGGGACCATTGTTCGGTTGATGACCCCGTCTCTTTGGACCAGAATAGCTTGCTATTCGGAGGAATTCGCGGGGGTCTCAATGACTCAGCCCTCCACCACCGTGCTTTGCTGCCAGTGTGAGGGGTTTTCTGTTAGCGAAGCTAATTTGTGCTTCCACGTTATTTTTAGAGGCACGCAGGCTTTCTCCCGGTACCTTTTTTCAGTCTTTTTCTATCTGTGCTTTACATATTTCACAATTAACATGCTAACTGAGGCTTGTAGAGCCTGAGACGCAGCTCGTTGGGTAAGCTTTTTGGATTCTGCTTCCTGAATAATAATATGATAATAAAACACATAATAATGTGTCTTGTGTTTTCTCCTCATATGCAGTTTCATTTACCTCATTTTAAGACCTGCCGGGGGCCGGATGACTTTCATTATGTCCTCACCTTAGAATTGAGACTAAATGTTGACCAGCTTGTAATGTATACAGTAGCGTAGCAATCACAGTCATTACTATTTAGTAATGGTGTTTTCTTTTCTTGTTTTTAATATTCAATGAACCTCAGGTCCGTGAAAAAAACGTTAAAATGATCACGTACTGTTACCCAAAGCCCAAGAGGACAGCTTCAAATAGCTTTATATCAGATCTACCATCTAAAGCCCAAAGACGTTTGTTACGCAAAGATGAAAGAGAGATTGAACATGAAAAAAAAAGGATGGAGGAAGTGGAGGAGCATCTTTTTTTTATCTTTCATTCAAACAAACAATAAATGAGGCGATCCAGATTGGAATACGACACGTATTAGAATTAAAGCTAGAAACCTGTAAAAGGGAATCAAGCCCAGCAAAAGGAATTCAAGCAAAGCATGACCCACGCCGTCGACGAGTTTGGTTGCTAAAATCAGCAGCCCGGCACCGATTTAGGCCTCAGAAAGTAAGACTTTTCCAGCGCGCCGCCGTGCACGGATCCATGTTTTATGGAAACGCAGCTGGAAATGTACCCCCCCCGCGACACCTCGTTTCTCATCCCGCTTTTATTCGGCTTTGGGTGTAGGTGGCGGGGCCTGAACTGAAAAGCCGAGCGGTAATGCAGCCGGCTCGCCGAAACGCAGTGAAGAGGTCTGCCCCGTGACGGTTTTTCCGCACGGAGCTCCCGCCCTGCCAAAAAAAGGGCTGTCAGCGCCAGTCAGCCGCCTCAAACAAAGACGCCGCGCGTGTCTCCAGGCGTTATATTGAACATCTAATCTCTACCGCTCAGCGAGTGACTGCCTCGGGGCGTTTCTCGGAGAAAAAGAGTATGCCGATAACCCGAAGGTATCGCGGAGGACTCTGTGAGTCTCTTTCAGCTCTCACGGAAACGGGAAGAAGAGGCAGCCCACTGCCAGGCTCACCCTGAGGAAGGAGTCCAGCGCCCCGTTCTCCATGAACTCGGTGATGATGAGGACGGGGCAGCTCCGCGTCAGCACGCCCTCCAGCCGGATGACGTTGGGGTGGTCGAACTGGCCCATGATGGAGGCCTCGGCCAGGAAGTCCCGCCTCTGGCGCTCGGTGTAGCCGGCCTTCAGCGTCTTGATGGCCACCACCATCTCGCGGCGGCCGGGCTGCTTGAGGCGGCCGCGGCACACCTCCCCGAACTCACCTGGGGTGAGAGAGCAAAGGTGGCAGGGGAGGAGGGAGAGGGTGATGTGGGGTGGGGGGGGTGGAGTGAGCAGAGGGAAGGAGAGGTGGGGGTCGAAAGGGAGGAGGTAGGGGCAATGCGGGGAACGTTACCGGTCGGATTTGGGAGTGAAGGAGCTGATTTGAAAGAGCTTAGGGTGGATTCCACAGCGGGATTTGGTTTAGAGAAGATAGGAGGAAGATGACGGGTTGTGGTGGGGTGGGGGTCAAGGGTCAAAGAGGTTTGGGAGAGAGGGGGTGGCTGGTATAGATCGAGTGTGAAACCTGGGGGCGGTGCAAGGGGACAAGGGACGGGACAGGTACTTTGGGGTTTTGCATTGGGTGCCTGAGTGCCAGTAAGTTTACACGGGAAAGAAAGAGAGAAAAAGAAAAGATGAGGAGGGGGGGAAACTCTTCGAGTGGGAGCAGACTGTCATTTGAGGTAAACTCGGGAAAGAACATGCTGCAGGATAGATTTTTTTTTTTTTTAAAGAGAGAGAAAAGAAAAATAGTCTGGAGGGCAAAGAGCAACAGTCACTTCAGCACTTTCCACCTGCAGCTCTCATGCACTTTCTAAATGCTAACCCCTTCCGCCCGGAGAGAACACCCCCGGGGGACTTGATGGCACACTCCGTCTTAAATAAATGATTAATAATCCCGAACGATTCGCTGTCGTCCCGCACAAAAATAGCAGCGCTGTTTACCTGCACCGATGACTTCCTCTATTTTCACACAGGAGATGTCTATCTCTTTGGCAAACTCGTGGATGGCGTCATTGGGGTCCTCGTAGGTAAAGGGGTCAATATAGACTTTGACCCCGGGAGAAACTGAGAGAAGCAAAGCAAAGAGGAGAGAGAAAATTGAGATGTGTGCTGTAGGACCGGATCCATCACAGAAGTGTGTCAACAATGGAGAATGGTGGTCTTTAGCCATGCTCGGCGTATGAAGCCATGCTATTTTACTTGTCAGTAACAGTGGCTGGTTTAAGTGCCTCAAGATTTACTCTATATTTTCATTATGGTAAGACCACTTTACAATTATGTCGTCTTCTTGAGCGGCACATAAGACATTCCAGTTAAGATTACATAAAACACCCAAATATCTGGTGGCTGAGGAAAATAGTAATTGGACCTTTCGGCAGGAGATTTTATACCATTCTGGTCGGATAAAATTCAAGGTAGTCATGGAACTCTGTTTTGTCTTTTGTCTTTCGCCATAAAAAACAAGGAAGGTCACTCCAGCACCCGGGCAGTTCGACAGCAAAGACTTACAGTTGGAAACGATTGCGGTCTGTGGTTGTATTTGTTTTGCTGAAATATGCAAAGCTTTCCCTGCAATCCATGTTTGGACGTTGCTTTAATACCTGTATCTTTCAGCATGGATTGTACCCGTACAGACATGCAAGTGGACGTTTCCATGGGTACAAATGCACCTTCATACCATCACAAATGACCCGTTTGTAAACAACAAGCAGGATTGCTATCCTCATCCTCAGTCCGAAAAACCCAACGTCCTTGATTGCAAACACTATTTAAAAATTTCATTTCAAAGATAGTTTTTTTCCCCACCTAGTCCATTAAAAAAAAAAGAAGCTTTTTGATAGGTTTTCTATGCCCTCCTGTGAATAAAATGCTGGTTTATGAGATCTATAAATCCTTGCAATTGGTGAATGTTTTACACAACATGTCAATTTTTATGGGCCTCGGGTGTAAGAAAACAAGTTTGATACAATTGACTGAGCTCTCGGGGCTCTTATCCAATCCAATGCGTAACAGACCCAACTGTGTCTCGATTAAGGTATATAAATGACCGTATCATACATGTAATATCAACATAATCCAATTTATTCACTTGTTTTGTTTATTAAGGAATTTACAAAGGGCTGTTTATATGGAAACAAACAATAGCTTAATGGCGTGATTGCAACCATTGTTGGCTCAAAAGGACGGATCCTAAGACCTTACAAGAACCAAGTGTCACTTTTAATACTTAAAAGCGTCATGCTTCTAAGTATTTAGGAGCATATCATGAATTAAAAAGATGTCTACGATGGAAACCCCGGCACACGTTCAAGCGTGCTTGCAACATCGTGGCACAGCTGCATACTTTTGCTCCGACGCCTACATGTAATCAGGCAGATATTTTGTGCAATCCAATCTCCACATTAAAAAAGCAAAAGGGATTAATTATTAATCAGAAGCGATGCTTTATTTATTCATTCAGGCATTAGACCTGTAACTGACAGCGTGCATCGGGAGTCTGGCAGGAAATGTGAGAGCCGGTTTCACAATGGACAAACTGCACCCCGTGTGAGTTGTGTAGCCCTCAGGCTAATTCGCAGATATTAATACTCTGGTATAAAAACTTTCCCTGCAATATCATCTTGGTAAACAGCAATAATAGAAATGTAGAGGCTGCGTACGTGCACACGTTTCCTCGGGCAAGCACCCTCGTAGGCGAAAATGAAAGCAGATCCATAAAAAACATTTCGGCGAGTGGATAGCTTCTCCTTTCCCATATTGAGTTATTTCTCTCCTGCTCATGCATCTACTTTATTTTGTTGTTCGACTCAGCTGATCTGTGCTCTCTCCGTCTTCCTCCTAACTGAGGGGGAAATGTTTTCTTGACTCAAACAGGTGATTGGATAATTGACCAAATCGGTTGGTTAACTGTACTGGCATGACTGTAAGAGCAAAGAAAAAAGGCCGCGTTCAGGCCCCCGAACACACAAACTCACTGTACTGCTGCAGCTTCTCCGTGTACTCCAGCTCTGACCCGCTGCGCTGCTTCCTGTAAACAAGCAGCACATGATCAAAGTCACATTCACATAATCAATCTCGGCCCTTCCCTGGTACAGCGAATCAAAACTGATAACCAACTCCAGTATCGGATATAAACACGGGCCAAGGAGGGGCAGCTTTGTTGTTGTTGTTGTTAGTTTTTTCTTCTTCTTTTTTTTCCCCGCTATGCTCCCCTTTGGAGCTTAAGTAGAAAGAGTGGTCTCAGAGTACATACCCTTTTCAAATCATCTTAAAATTTAATGAGCCTCCGTGTTCTAAGGCTAATTAACAAAGCGAAACATGTTGTTTGGGCTGTCAGTGATTAAAATCAAACGCTTACTTGAGGCAGACGACGGCGATGACCACCAAGGCCACGATGACCACGAGGCCTGCGGAGGCCGAGCCGATGATCAGAGGCAGCTGGTCTTGCACGGACTTCTGAGGATCACCTGCGCCGCACAGCATACGGGCGCAAATTAACAGAAATAATGGCAGGGGGATTAAAGGCCGGCTCGCGCAGCACGTGTAATGGCCACCAATTAGGCCGGTCGTAAAAACGGCCGGGGCCATCGTTAAGATGATGGTGGCGGAAGATCACGGAGAAGAGGCCGTGAAACGGGGGTTGGGGGGGGGTGGGGGATTCGTCCTTACTGTGTAGGTTTGTGCTGAAGTCCATGGGGTTGCTGTAGCGTCCGTACCCGGCGACGGTCCGAGCCCTGACCTGCACCACGTAAGGGGTGGCCGCCCTCAGCCCCTCCACCTTGGCGGAGCTGTGCTGAGATGTGACGGTGTGGGACATCCCCTGACCCTGAAATAAAACAGAAGCGTTCAGCGTGCAGGTTTTTTCTGTCGTCGTGGTTCGTAAATTGGGGCCTCAGTCACCGTGACCGAGCGATAAAAAAAGGGGGAAAGCAGAGCCGTCCTATTAATAATCACTGTCCTCGTGATTCACGGACAGCATGAATTTTCTCATTTCAGAGGAATCCATTATTTTGCTCATGCAGCTCCATTTAATGCGTATGATCAGTGAGATTTGACTCCGGCTAAATTGTTGGTTTGTTGACCGTCGCTCTGAATGTGCAGCTCTGTTGCTGGAATTCTTTCTCATTATCTAGTATAAAACTTGAACAGATTCACATTATAAAAAACATTCATTATCCATTCTATTGTAACTCAAATGTCATAATTTCAAATGTAATTTGCACCAAGATTTGTATTTGCACTTAACATTATCTCCAAAAGGTATGGAGGCTAATGTCGGTGGCATTGCCAAATGGGAAACTGGTAAATGACAGCTAATGATGCTTGTCCTCAAGATCCGTCATTATCACATACGTTAAAATGTAAATTGAAATAGTCCCCGATGAAATGAAGATTTAAGACAGAGCTCTTCTCACATCACTGCTTCATGGAAACGATAACTCACAAACCTCTTTAGAGGCGCTAATTATCAATTTGCTGGAAAAATCACTTTCCACTGACATGTTTTATAGATCCATATTTTAACAACCGGGAGAAAAAAATCTGCTGTTCGATCAACCCTTATTTATTTACCCTTTACCCTTATTTATTAAAGATTTTAAAGGTACAGCACGATGTGGCACTGTGGCCTGGTTAAATTTGTCTTTTGTTTGCCGTCAAACAGATTGATTTAACAAAATAGAGGATGCATGGAAAAAGAGCAGAAAAGTGATATGGTGGAACTGACTAGGAACAATTAAATAAAGCTGCTGGATTTGTTAATTGATAAGATGGCGTTATGGCCAAAATGTACTCTTCCCCCGCAAAATCTGACACATTTTTTCGGGCCAAGCTTATCAAAGGGAGCAATTTATAATAGTTCTCAATACATTCAGAAGTGTCTGTAGCTTCTTTTTTTAGAGAGTAGTTGGAGTTTACACACACGCAACACAATATGGAGTATAAACAAAGAGTTGTCGTTTACTTAGTCCATTTATGATTAATTTAAACATATGGACCATCTAGTGAAGGTGGCAGTTTATTACGTTTGGCATAACTCCATTACTTGCACAGATCTGTTGAGATGGTGGTATAGATAGTGGCAAAATAAGATCCCTGAAAATGAAACACTGTGTAAATGGGTTAGAATTGTTAACCCCACATTCTTCTTAGCAGTGCTTAGGGTTAGCAGATCTATAATCCTGACAATAAAGGGTTACCAAATGGCTGGGGAGCTTTTCAAACCTAATGACCCAGTGTCCACAAACGGCCATTTGCTGAGTCTGACCAGTACATAATCTTCAACAATCCAGATTTCCAGCCCCGCGCATCCAATTTATCAATTACAACAAAGTCATCCGCTTATCACACTGCATTACTGAAGTCAGAGCTTACCCTCTCTTGGTATTTTATCTCGTAGTCGAGGATGACTCCGTTTGGTTTCTCGGGCGGCAGCCATGACAGGCTGAGAGTGTCTGCAGTGGAGCGCATCAAGTGGACGGTAGGCACAGCTGAGGGGGCTGCAAGTGGACACCAAACAGGACAATTCATCATTATAACGCAACTGTTAAGGTTACTGTACTTCTGGGTTCGGGTTTCTGTGGCTCTCAGTAACGTAAAGGGACATTGCGTAGTATTTTATTTTTATTAGCAAAAATCGCTTTATTCATTTGTAATTGTGCCCTCATTTGGTGTAAAATGACCTCTGCAATGATCTGACTTCTCCTCATTACCGAAGAATTTCCTATCTGTATATACGTGGGACGAAGTCCACGGAGGTTTCCATGTCGTTCTGCCATTTTGAAAAACTATACTGGCAGGGGGGGACATAAAGCACTAGTCTACCTGTTTAGCTAGTCAACAACGTGTTTTCGTACAGAGCCAGTTGCGTCACTGAAACTTCGCTATCTTGTTTGAGGAGTAATTGCAGTTTGGAATTTCTTTTAACTTAAATTCCTCATTACCCGAAGAAAACTCGATGTGGAAGTCATGTCGTCATTACTTCTCGATGCATGACGGCTACCATAGTTGCAATACCTACAGCGTTCCTACACCGTGCACCTTTGAGATTTTCTTTTCTGAAATCACAAGCTGCCCCTGTGAGAAACAAGTGTTCTCTAAAATGTTTCCAACCCAAACAGTTTGGGATAAGCAGTAGATGATCGACCTTCGCCGCCCTGCCGTTTATTGATTTTATGTGACCTGAAAGCGACTCGCAAGATAGTCGGAGTGCTGGGTTCATAAACTGCGGGAAGGTGGGGAAAGTGCCAGGTTAACTGGAAGAGTAATTGCAGTCTGTAAAAGGCGCTCAGCAGTTTGGTTGATGATGACATTGAATACATTAGCGGCCATGCTGGAAAGTGACATTGTCATTGATGTATGATAAGAGGCCCGCGCAGTCTGCTGACAGTGGAGATATGAAGCAGAATTTATCTGCCGTTCCTGTTACTCACTCAGAAAAAAGCAGAGCCCCGGCTCAGCGTTTGTCCATCTGTCGCTCTCAATGAGCTGCTCTAACCGTGTTTACTCTTGGTGTTAGAACCTTTGTGGATGCCGAAAACTCATTAAGGCCCTCATCGACATTGACTAGAAGGTAGGATCCGCTAACCAACAAGTCCCGGCGTGATGTTAAGTGGTATTGATCTGGAGCCGGGCCATGAATTAACTTGTGGAAACATCCGATGCCGCCGACAGACGGGCTACTAACCGGCCTGGTTGGTGGTGATGTTGACCGTGGAGTAGTTGGGCGAGGAGGGGTTCTTCCCGGAGACCCCGTTCACGGCCTGCACCTCGAAGCTGTAGCGGGTGTGGGCCTGCAGGTTCCTCACCACCACCTTCCTCTGCCTCAGGCCCAGCCGGCGCGGGGCGATGTCCACGTTGTCGTCGCAGCGGGTGCACGGGCTGCGGTCGCGCAGGCACTTCTTGCACACCACGTTGTAGACCAGGTCGCTCCGCCCGCCCGTGTCCTCGGGCTCCTCCCACTCCAGGGACAGCGAGGTCTCGTTCACGCTGGATATGACGCTGCGGGGCGCCGAGGGGATGGCTGCGCAAACACAGACGAGCGTGGAGGCGTTCAAAAGAAAAGGGGGCGGACAGCGTGAAAAGCACACAAATGAGGCTTTAGTCAGGCTCCCTATGCAGGGATGACATTATCCTCCAAGATGGTGAAAGGAACATTTAAATGTATTCACAAGAGGGCAACAATAGGCAGGTTTTTGTCGCACGGAAATGAATGGCGTATCCTCAAATGAATAATTATAATAAACACGTTAAAAAATGCCAAACTGCTTTACAAGTCTTCAACATGGCCTGAGTAAAGAGAGGGAAACCAGAGACAGTTTAAGCTCCTGAGACCCTTCGTCCTCGTATGAGGAAATTGCATTTTTGACTCTCTTCGCCGTTATGCTTCTTTTTTCTTTCAACTTTGACCTGTTGGCCTCACAGCAGACGCTATCAGACACTACCGTTTGAAATCTAAAGTAAAATGGTTTTCTACATTTTCAGGCAATCATGTTCCTATTGTGTAATTAGAATGTAACAAATAAGTAATATAAGTTAAATAGCAAAAACATTTAATTAAATATATAAATATATAAATATAAATATAAAGATAAAAACCCACTTAGCCTAAAAGAAGAAAAACTACCTGTACCCGTACAAAGTCTAGTTATTAAAGTTATTAGGTCCTACTGATCCCAAGCAAAAATGCACATCAAATAAAAGCTCGGGCCTCAGGAGTTTCAAATAGAACAATGAACACTTGCAAGCTGAGTAATTGTCTGTGTTGTGCTGTAAAGCTGCTTTGCATTGGTTTAACTCCCAACTGAGACTCAGCTCATCTCAAGGCCACAGCGCCATCGCAACAGAGCTGACGAAACCAGGATAAAATGCGACGACTGCAGAGGTAGGCGAAGACTAGCTCAGCAAAGGGGCTGCGCGGTGGACTGGAGAGCTCTGCCCGGCTGAGCTTACAGCGGCAGCAGGCTCCTGCCTAACCTGGCTCTCAGCGGGGAGATAAGAGGGAGGGGGGAGGGGAGCGGGCCTGTCCGCGGAGTCCAGCTCCTCTGCCCAGGGCTGGTTTCACTCACCCAGTCTTTTCCAATTAGGCGGAGGGAATTCAGAGTAGAGCCTCCCCTAATTGGATACCCATCTAAAAGCGCACGCTGAGGGGGCAACACTGCCGCCCATTGACTGGCCGAGCTTCTCGTGCGCAACGAGGCCCAGGGCCCCCGCGATGAGCTGTGACAGACCGCAGAGACGGACCTGTCACGGCCTGCGTGTTTGTGTTTGTTTGCGTGTTTAGTTGAAGGTGGCGCCCGTGTCCCTGACCGCCTGTCGGCGGAGTCCGCAGTGCTCCCGTGACAAGCGATCTGGGGGAGGACAGTTTGCGGGGGCCATGTGTGTCATTTAACATGGAGAGAGGCCCCCGGGGCTTGACTTTTACGCGGTCAAAAGCAGCACATGTCGCTCTAAATCAGCACCGCCCGACGGACCCCTCAAAGAAACCTGTCTGCGCAGAGCCAACAAAGTCACCGTGGCCAGCGCCACACATGAGCTAGTTACCACCAAAATGCATCTTTCCATAAAAGAATAAGCAACCAGTCAAAAGAGACTCTATAATCATTATCAGTCAGTTCAAATGACATGCTTGTAGATCATGCAGTACTAAAACCAAGGAAAATGTTTTATACCCGTTAACATATTTGCTATCACGGTGGGATGATTCACTGAAATCAAATTAAACTGGCCCTGCCTTTTCCCTAAGAGCAAAATACTTCAAAGTAGGACATTAGCTTTTTCCATTTTTGACTAAAACTGGCTGCAAAGGCCATTTCCAGCCGTTCTGCGGCCGTTTTTTCTGCTGCTCGTAAACTGACTGTTCAATTCAATAAACCTTTTTCTTATTAATTAGTTCAAGTATATTGTTGTGGCAGTCCTTGTCTGCCAAATGACATGTTGGCATAAATGTATGCATTATTATTATTGATACTTAATACTTATATGACAAGCTGACCAATCGGAGCTCTGCTGGAATAAACTCAGGCATAGGAACGGAGGTTTTCAGAGAATAACAGTGATTAGGTCTACTTAATGGTAGATGTGATGACTTATTTTTTAACATTAAAGCGTGTAAACTTGCTACAGTAGGCCTCGAAAACAAAACAGTGACAGAAATGCGCATTATGCTCTGAATTTCTTTCATGTTATACAACTGCTGAGTCATTTCAAACAGCTGGATATAGCGAATTTAGCTAGCGTTAGCTGCGTCTTTTTAATGGGCCCAGCTGTGGTTATGGCAAACAGCTGTCTCACACCCAAAGTATTAAACGTCTTTTTTGATTATCAGCATCACAATGTAGAATGCAGAATTATGGACCACTGAATCAATATACCCTCTAAATGCAATGATCTCTCCTCCAGCTAGCTTGCTAGCGTTCTATATCATTGACGTTAAGTTATGGTACACATGTTTTTTGGTACTGTGCTCCCATAAAATGTTATCATTAAAATAAAGAATTTGCTCCCCATCTGTGGAGGAGAGTCTTTTGTTTTAAAGTTCCGTTTATGGTTAGCAGTGCTTTCCTGAGTGACATGCTACCAAACCTCTTTTTATTGTTTCGGAGGAAACATAGCTGGAGAATTGGGACTTCTCTTCTTCCTGTGCTGTGAGGGATGACTTACTGGTGCAGGAGGACTCGGGAGGGTCACTGTCAGAACGGTAAAAACCATTCTGGCAGGGACAAATATTGGCTCCTCGTGCACTGGTGCGGCTGTTGGGTGGACAGGGAACACACGATCCCTCCCCGAATTTGGATTTGAAGGTCCCAGGGACGCAGGCTGGAAAAGTGGGAGAGAATGCACGGTTGAAAAGGATATGAAAAAGAAGGAAAGACAGAAACCAATGTGCTGTGGCTTATTTAAGAGCCCAGCAGCTGTCACATCTGTCACTGAACGAAAAACGGAACCCTCAGAGTACCTACAGAGCTCCATATTTATGAAGGAAATGTTCAGATGTGCGTGCGAAATGGCGAGCACTTAAACATCAGGGTTTATCTCTACATTTGCATCGGCTCTTTCAATTTCAGCTTCTCCACTCGGAGACATTAATCTCTCCAAACAGGGAGTCAAGATGACAGCAAAGTTTCGTGTCGAAGAAGGGAAGAAGGAGGATAAAGACGAAGACCGACTGCTGACGGGAGATTGCTGTTGTCACACAAACAAGGATGGAGAATGCTTCTGAGAAAAGGGATACACCCCAAACCCATCAATCAGTGTCTGTTCCGTCCTCACTTGTCCCAACCGTACTGAATACAAACAAGGCCTCCACATACATGCCAAACAGCTCTATAATAAGCCAATAAATCAACCCAAACGAAGGGACATAAGGAGTAGGAGTAAATTAGCCGGGCAGAATTATGAGCGGAGTGTCCGAAAGTACGGCAATCGTGCGCAATGTCCAAGCGATTCATTTGAATTCCTCAGTGCCAGGCTGAAGGTTGGCTGATATTGAGTCTTAAGGATAAACCAACATAAGCCCCGACTAAAGAAGGATACAGATAAAGGGGATTAGCAGCAAAAGGTCTGGATATATCTGCCTCCAGAGCCCCATGTTTTTGAAACCGTTTGCCACATTCCTAACCGGTGGTGTAAAAGCGGAGGCTCTGGCAAACATCTGTCCTGCCTGCATGACGGCTCATAAAACGCAGCCTGGGAGAGCAGGGGAGAGTGTGATTAAGTAGTTAGGCTAAGTGGTCTTTCAGGTTGAACTCTAGCTCCACGCAAATCCCGGAAAGAAAAAAAAAACTACACTTAGTGACAATGCTTCTGGAGAAGCATAGTTAATCAAAAAAGAAGATAAGATTCGCGTACACCGCCATTTTTTTTCCCATTCATAACTCACACTTTCAGATCTGAGGGGTGTATTTTTCTTCATCTGAAGCAAATTCATCATCGTTTTCCATTGTTTGTTTGTTCAAGAGACTGCTGAATCACCCCACTGTCTTGATTTAATCCATTAACCTCTGCCTTTTTTGGATCCTGCATCTCTCCCTTCGTTGTTTCCCCTCTCCTCCTCTTCCTCGCCCTCTCCCCGCCTCCGTCCTCCAGCTTTTGGCTGTGAGCGGAGCGGGCCGGACCGGGGTAAGAAATGAAACGTCTGAGTGATTAATGTCAGTGTGGCGGTGTTGGCTCACGTTGGCCCGAATGGTGTTAATGAGCGCGGCCGCCTGTAGATTAACTAACGGGAGGCCGCCGAGGAAATTACACTTCCTCATCACAAGTGCTGGCTGAGGCCTCTGGAGAGCTTTTTATCAGGCTTTGGCGGCAAGCTTTTAACCTTGAGCCGCCAAATGGCAACGAATGAGCTCTCTCCGACGGATGTTCGACACTATTTCTCACACCCAGGTGAGAGGAGGCTTCGCCCGCCTGTCTTCGGCTTCCCGCGGCCTCCTGCCATTTTAGATGGCCTCCCTTTTTTTTTTTTTTTTTCTTTTAGCAGCTGTTTCCGTCCACGCTTTGCCAATTCACGCCATCAAAGCCCGCGCCATCTCCCCTTCTCCGTTAATATCTCTCGTCTCCAGGCTTCATCTCTCCATTTTATTATCTGCGTTTTTCCTCCCGCCAGCCGATTGGCTCCCCCTTTAAAAAAAAAAAAAAAAAAACCTCGCCTCTATCTTTCTCTCCCGCCTGTCCTGCTCGCACAATATTTGTATGCGGCTCCTCTCTGCAACACCTCATTAATTCATCCTCTCCTCCACCCTCCTCCACCCTCCTTCACCCTCCTTTCAGGAGCCACACAATAAATGCAGGGAAGAGGGGCACGGGCTGAGGTGACTTGCACCGAGCATACAAAGGGGGGCTTTGGGTTAAATAAAAAAATCTCGCCGCCTGTTGGACGTGCGTACCTTGGCACTGCGTGTCGTCTGCAGAGGGCTCGAAGCCGGCCACGCAGGTGCACGAGCCCACGGGGACCATCCACTCGCCGTCCCCGTTGCAGTAGAGCTTCAGTGGGACGGACACCTCCATGGCGTTGGTCACGCAGGCCCCCGGGGCGATCACCAGGGAGGTGGCCTCCGCCCCCGTGGCGGTCTCGGGGAAGACGGCGAAATTGGCAATGGTGGTGGAGCACTTCTTGAAGAAAACCCTGACTGATATGAGGGACATGCAGGCCCCCAGGTCCTGGAAGGCCAGATAGAAGCCCGCCTTGGAGAGGGGCCCGAAGCTGCGCATTTTGGTGTTGATCCGGCCCGCCTCCAGCAGGGAGAAGCTCTCGTCGGGGGCGATAGTATCCACCTTGACGTACGGGTTCTCCCTCCACAGGGGGCTGCTGTCCGTGGCCGTGTCGCCCTCCGACTCGTAGTAAAACAGGTTGAAGGTCTCTTTGCAGGAGCCGGGGATGTTGGGGATGCTGGCGCAGTCACGGACGGAGAACTTGAGCTCCACGTAGACGCGCAGCACGCCCCTGCGCGGGATAAAGTCCGTCCTCAGCCAGTTGTTCTGGTTGGGCTGCCGGACGTTGCACACCTGGTAGGTTCGGATCGGGCTCATAGAGTCGTCGTAGCCGCTGACCTCCTCCCACTGTGGAGACGGGCACACACAAACAGGGAGAGATCAGTGGGGGGAAAAAACGAACTGCTGGACGAGGAATTACATTTTTTCTAAATTTGGATTCGACGCGTTGTCAATATTAACCAATACTTCCCCCCATCAAACAGTGCTCGATGTTCAAAACGGCCCTGTGGCGCCTGCTAGGAACAGATTACGAAACACAAGACTGGCACACATTGCCACAGAGTGCTGTGTACACGCGGCCTGCGAGGAATAATTTGCAGCTAAAAGGCCTCTAATTGCATGAATCATTCAGAAAATTCCAATCATTATGGACTATTAATAGATAACATTTTCCTATTTAAACACATTTCACGCAACACGGCTCTTTGACTGGTTCTGTTGCTGACCGCTTCGCTGGAAGTATGCATAAACCTGGAGGGGGGGGGACACTTTTCTACCAAGATCATGTGAAACGTGTTGGTTATGGAGCATTATCAAGCAGCTGGAACGCAAGCTGCAGACATGCCTTCCTTTAGGGAGCGGCAACGGCGTCTCACGCCTGTTGAAGAGCAAAGCAAACAGCCCCAAGAGGAGATTTGGTCCCTGAAACAAACTGTACCATTTAAATGGTAACGTTCCCGATGCATCTATAATTCATAGCTATCTAAACGCAGCGCTGTCAGCGTGATTGGACTGTGGCAGCATGTCTGAGTACTTCAGGTTATGTCGACCGCAGATGGCTTTTTAATGTGTGTGTGTGTTCTCAAGACAGAGGAGAAGAAAAAAAAGGAGCTTTATGTGTAGTTAACAGTGGTATTTGTAAATGTTAACTAACCCTTAGAAGGTGTGAGAAATCAATGGTCTATTGGGAATTAACCATATGACAAGTCAATCTTCTCGTTATTTATTTACCTGTTGGTTTTTTTTGCTATTTCCCAGTTGGACTAAATGCTTGGTTTCCATAACAAATGACTGGCCTCGCAATTGATTATTTCAACTGGGGGGTTGGGGGGGAAATAATGCATAACTCATCTCACGTCTATCCGCTCTTGGGTAATTTATCCCCAAATGATGAGCCCAGGAGTCAGCATTAGAGGCCGTAAATCACCGGCAACACGTTGATGCACTACCTGACAAATATGATAATTGCCACGCCGCCCCCGCCAACGACCCCCCCCCCCTCCCGAACCCCTCTCCAACGTATGGGCTTGTCAGACGCGAGGAGAGGGGCCGCCTCGCCTGTCGTGACATATGACTTTATGGATGCCAGGACATTCAGAGCCAGCCCTGGTAGGGGGAAAAGAGGGACCTGCCTGAGATCGTTTCCATGGCAACCCACCATTTCCATTGACTGGCTTTGCGCTCACGTAGCGAAGACAAATTACACTGGCCGGGTGTGGGGGAGGTCTGTCAGGCTGTTAGCCCTGAGGTCAAATTCATGTTGTTTTATTTTCTCACAATTCCTATAGGGGGTATCAAGTGAAAACCTTAATTTCTGTGCTCTTGGGCCCGCACTATTAAAGACCCAAACATTCTTATAGTGGCCAGCTTCTCTTTTTCTGGCCACGGATGCACAGTAAAGTCGGTCTTATGGTCCTTTTTAAACATTTTGGGTGTTTTCTGTGGGAATTTGTAGGCTTATACGTGCTCTACACTTTGATATCTTAAATTTCTTCCACGCAGCGCCGCACTGTGCTCCCATTCTGCTGCATTGTATCCTGAAAGGCAAACATTCGCTGCAAAAACAAAGACATAAAACAGCAGGAGGCGTGCCTTTCAAGGCAGATTGGGCTCTATTAACAAGCAAATGGAACAAATGCAGCGGGAGAGAGGAAAAAAAGAAGAAAAAAAAACAGAAAACAGGACTCGAAACTAAATAAATACACTCTTTAACTCACCCCACTTTCTGGAAATGTGGTCCAAGCCAGCTCTGTGGTAGCCCACCGACTGTCCATGAGGGTTTCTGCAAATTGAGAGGAGGAAGAAATTAGACAAAAGTGGAGCTAAACGGTGTGGGGAAGATGAGTGTTGCACGGCATTAAGGACCTCACGCAAGCTCCCCGCGCTCAACAAAAGGAGGCAGGTATTCTCCCTCCGTTTCACAGCCTCCACCCACGCCCGCACTCAGTTTTCCGAACGCGCCGACAATCACGGCGTGCCCGTGCTTCCTAATTAAGGCCCGGCGTGTGTGCATGTTCGATACTCACAAATGCACTCCTTTCAATATTCATTTCGCGGAACCGAGAGCGAAACATCCTCGGAGGTGTCTTCAGAGGGAGACGTTCCATTAACGCCGACGGGTCTCGGGGAGGTCGCGTAAGCAGGAGGGGAACTTTAATACACCTTTAATAAAGCTATCAGGAGAGATGGAAGGCGGGAAAGGTGGAAACAAAAAGAAAAAAAATGCTGTCTCTAGGATGAGATCTGTCAGGCCTGAGTTAACAGATGTTTTTCCCCACCGGGGCGGTCTACGACTCGACCAGAGGAGGGCCTGAGAATTACCACCAGGATCACAGAGTTACTCTTGTCAGGCTGTCAGTCAGGCGTCACCTGGATGGTGGGCCAGTGAGTTCATCAAACCTTAGAACCCCCCCCACAACCCCCCCCACGACCTCTCAGTTCACACCTGTACCCATTGTTCTGTTCTGTTTGCACACAATCGCCGAAGCGACTCCACTCTCTGTGCCCAGACACAGCGACACGGCGCCTGCTGTGCACCATTTGCTCACAAGTTGTGGGGAACAGGGGGGGGGGGGGGGGGGGGGGGCGAGGGGGGCCAAAACAAACGGCGGGCCCTGCCTCCGACGACAGCCGCGCTCTGTGTTCAGCTTTGTTCTGGTGGCGCACCGACAAGTGTGGTTACAGTAACGGTTGGGGGGTGAGGGGGGTGGGGGGGTCTGGGTGTTGTGTTTCAGTAACGGGAGTTGGTCGGACTGAGTTAATAGACTGTTCATCATTCTGTATCAGCCCGGAGATTCCACTGGGGAAAAGATGTTGGTCAGAGATCACTACGTCCAACAAGATGTACACTGCAAGTCCAAGGTTTGGACTCACTTATTCGAAGGGAATTGAAACAGTATGACCACAACTTCTAACTACCGCTCATTACTAGATGGGTTGAATGCTTGACTTTGTGGCGTTTCCAAATGCAAAAATTCCCAGACCTCATGTACCAAAATTTCCCTTTGGGGATGAATAAAGTAATCTATCCACCTGATTTAAATCTCGGTTTGTACGTTTGGAAAGGTTCTGCCGAGGGACACTGGATTCCTCCCACGTTCCAAAAACATACATTTTAGGTTCAATGGTGTCTGTCAATTGAAGGTAGGAGTGATTTGAATGTGTGAATCTATCTATCTATCTATCTATCTATCTATCTATCTATCTATCTATCTATCTATCTATCTATCTATCTATCTATCTATCTATCTATCTATCTATCTATCTAAATGTGTTTGCTAATAACTTCTCGGTGCAAAAGTCCAGAGCCTCCAACCGTTTCTTTAAACCTTCCCTCCAAGCAGCCAGACTTTCCAGAACTTTAGATCAATAGTTCCTTGGACAAGTTGGGGAGTTTTCCTTTGGACGTCGGCTTCGTGTTTGCTCAGTTCCAGAGGGTACGCGTTTATTTTGTCTGAAACATAACCTGTGAGTAAAGAAGCAAACAAAAAAAAACCCAAAACATCTGTCCCGACAAACACGACAAGAAACACCGGACAAATGGAGAGGAAACGAAGAAGTGCAAAGCCTAAGAGACCTTCTGCAGCTGAGAGACATTTATTTAAAGTGACGTCCTTCGTAAGAGGGGGAAAAAAAGACCTGACACAGGACCTGAGAGCTGAAACTGAACCTTCAGTCGAGCCATCTACTGGTGCTAGATCAGAAACAGGGTGAAGAACACAATAACCTGTTTGGATTGGCTTATTCAATACTGGATTTCATATAGTTTACTGTTTTGTTCATCTTAAGAATTATACTCAGACACTGAACTCATGTTATGTCTACTGTTGTATTTCCAAATGTGTCACATCGTCAAGGACAACACACAAACACACACATTTCCTATCACATCTCAGTGGAACCTGCATGAACTGGGAGCTGGCAGATGGTACTGGCCAGTAAGACTCGGATTTGTCCAGCCATCCTTCTGTACGGGGGAAGGCCAAATGTCTATCACGCTCGGAACTCTGGGCTCTTTCTTTTGGGTTGAGATCCTCATCGCGCTTTTTGAATTAAGAGCCCAGCGCTGATTTACTTTAACCTCCGACCCGATATAAATTACCCATTTTTACTTCCACCGTCTCTCTGGTTTATCCCCCGGCTTCCAATAAAAGAATCGGGGCTAACGAACCCAGTGACCAAGAACCGCACGGAAAATGATTGACGCCGGGTCCTGAGTGTGGACCTTAATATTACTGAGGCGGGATCTTGACAGAGAACGTGGGGCAAAAGTCAACCAATTTCCAAAAAGGAGCTTTAAGATGTCCTTCAAAAACTACCAAGTAACTAATGGGGTTCCGGATGGGCTGAAGAACAAAGACGGTCACACCAAATATCATCCTCGACTTGTGTCAAGTGTTTCCACCTTGCTTGAGGTGTTCCTACTTATATTTTTAAAGCACATTTTAAGATATGTTTGACCTGTTTCTTGATTGAAAATTGTTTTTTAAAGAGGACAGAATATGAATTCTTAACTTCGTTGTTGGCCTGTTCATATCTGTGTGCTTTCACTTTTAAACGGCTCGCACTGAGACTGGTTAGTGGTGATATCTGACAATCTGCCTTTTTGTGGTCGTATTTGCCAGGTCAGGTGTTGGGGACGTGTATTTATCGGTGTAGTTACACCACAGAAGGCCCTCCTTGTGAGGACACAGGATAAAGTAACAAAAACATTGAAAACTAATTAACTTAAACTGGCTGGACTCATTGGGAAAAAAAAGTGATAGCAATAATTACCACGAATAACTGTGGAAAAAGGACATTTCTTGTGCCTTTTAAACACTTTGGGGTGCTTTAACAGATTAGAATCCACTTGTAAAAAAACAATAGGTGGGAAAAAAGTTATTTTACCTAGCTTCTGTACAGCAAACACTAGAAAATGAGATAAAAACTTGGGTCATGATGATTTTTATTGCCTCGTGTATGAATTCAATTCAGCTTCTTTGTGTGAGAAATTGCTGCTTGCAGGGGTTGTCCTGCATAATCTAGTCGGCATGTGATATTTGCTTCGTGTCACTGAAAACAAAGGCTCCGAGAAGCCAGCAGCAAACGGTGTGAATGAAACATCTGCTGGGAAACACTGATTCTTGCAGAAATCGCATCTGTAATCAATGCAGCGTTAAAGAAACGCATACGTCCTTGCACGTGCGTCACACTAAACGGGACCTTCTTCCAGTTAGAAATCCTAATTAAACAAAAGACACTTGCGCTACTAACAACTGAACCAGACTGAAGTGAATAAACAAGTATATTTAAGACGATGGGTTGACTAAAAGTTGGTGAAAAAAATTAATTAAATTAGAAATCAACCATCAGTGGAAATCCCAGATATCCCCATGGCGAGTAGTCCACAAAATCACGTCAATGCAAGGAACAAATGCGCATTCAAATCGAACCCTGTTGCTCATTTTTAACGCGCACGCACTCTCCCGCGCACGCGCGCGAGAATGAGCGAAGGGCGGCTAATAACTTCACTTGTAGAGCCCAAACGCGCGCTTGTGAACACGGTTGTTTTACTGATTAGTGCAACTTGGGCCAGGGAGATGGGGTGGGGGTGGGGGGTGACTAATCAGTGGAATCGGCGGCTGTTGTCTCTGCTTGGCCACCCTCTCGGGCCCCCCCGGCGGCGCACAGCTCAGTGAGTTCTCTGTGGCCCCGTGCGCGCCGCGGAGCTACCGCCGGGCGCATCCGCGCGTCCCCGGGGGGTTAGATCCCCCCCCCCCACCTCCATCCCCCCCCCCCCCACCCCCCTACCCACTGCCTCCAGGTTCCCGGAGGCAATAAAAAAGCAGAATCGCTCACTCTCGGCTTAAGCAAAGGTCTGAGCCGCTTCATTTCACATTGCACATGCACGTAAAATACAAGAGGAAGAAAAAAAAAAGAAAAAATCGCAGATCCTCCTGCTTCTGTGGCAGCTGGGCACAAGACCCCGTGTAAGCAGCACGGCTGTGCCACTGCTGAATCGTGATACCAGGAAAAAAAACCGTTTGAGCAGAGGGAGTGGATGAATCCTGGCGCATTTGGAAAAAGACAAAAAAAGGCTCTCAACATCCCCTTCCCTCCCACCTTAACTCCCAGAGACCGGTTAAGGTTGAAAAAGATCCCATTTGTTCCACAGCCCCCCCCCCCCTTCTCTCTCTCTCTCCCTCTTTCCTTTTAAATTTACAACACCTCTGAGGTCGCAGAGCTGCTGCAACTTTAATCCAAAAAAATCCACCCTCCCTGTTTTTCTCTCTCATAAAAACCACGGCAGCCAGAGTCCCTCTGCCCCTGGGGTAAGAAAACAATGCTGCAGAGGGAACTTCAGAGCATCACCACTCCTGGCATTTAATGCTTTTTCTGTCCTCTCTCTCTCTTTTTTTTTTTGATCGCCTGCTGAAGCCAAAATGCCACACAACTCTGTATTCTCAGTGAGCTCTAGTGGGAAGCTCGCAACGCGCTGATGTTTTATTCACTTTGTGAGAGAGGGTGCATCGTGGAAAAGGGTGGTTTGGGGGTGGGGGGGTGGCTGCTTTTGTAAGCACTCCGACGCGCAAACTCATGAAATATTAACGGCCAAACACCATAATCGTCGTCGATGATCGAAGCATGGTCAAATAGCCTATGTGTCCGGAAGTGGAATCATAGCATTAATTAGGGGTGTGTGGAGGGGGAGGAGGGGTAAGGGGGGGGTGGCAGAGGCCGTGGCTCTTCAGCGGTGTTGGATTCGGTTTGCGCTGGAATGCGCGCCTCTCCGGTGAGAAAGGGGCTCCGCGTGACGCTTGATGAGCATGCTTTCCCGAACAAGTCGGGCTGACCTAATTCCGTCTCATCTCCGGGGGCTGCGCGCATCCGCTTTCAGGGGACAACCGCTAATGATCCTTCTTGATACCGAGAGATGCGCACCGGGAGCGCATCAACGTGCGCCATGCCGTCAGCTGTGATAGGCTAACCTGAAAGGGGGGGGGGGGGGCAAACATGTGTGCATAGAACATCCCGCTGAACGCACTATAAAAGTGCTTACCCATCTAGTTTATTAGCTTTAAAATAAGAAGACGGTAAACGCCGGTTGTAAACGAGAGGATTAGAACGTAAAAACGTCATGGCGGCGGAGGCCTCGGTTTGCTTTACTGCAAACGGGGGACAAGTCACCACTGTGGCTTCCGTAAACAGGCGCACGCCTTCCAGTTGCGTCTTCCCATCCCAAGGGGAGG